GGCAGAAGGATTGCTTGAGCCCAGGAGTTTGAGGTTGCTGTGAGCTAGGCTGACGCCACGGCACTCTAGCCCGGGCAACAGAGTGAGACTCTGTCTCAGAAAAAAGAAATGGCCGAGGGAAGCCCTGAGGAAGCAGAGAGGCCACTAGGGAGGAACTTCCTGGGAACGCAAAGGGGAACCGGGGCTGCCGGCCGCCAGCGCGGGCCGTCCCTCCCGAGAACTAAAGAGGAAGGAGGGACACTGACCGGAAAAGAAGGCCCCAGATGGAGAGCTGGTGTCCGTGGCGGTGGGCCCTGCCGCGTCACCCACACCCTCCCGGCCTCCCCATGGCCTCCTGGCTCCTCGGCTGGCTCCTGTTGCCCTGGACCCTGCGGCTGGCAGGTAGCGTCTGTCTTGCTTCTTCTCACGTACTCTCGCTCGAGAACATCAGAGCGGCTTTCATCCGGCCGTGCGGCTGACTCCCGGGGACCTGTCTCCAGGGATTTGCTGCTTGTCGTTTGAACATTGCAGACTTCACAGGGGAAGCCTTCAGGGACCAAGAGATGTTTAGCTAATGCCTTGCCAAGGTGGCTTTTGAAGGGGCGGAGGACAGCACTCTTCCCTCGCAGCCCTGTTAACAGCCTCCCCCGCCCCCCGCCCCGGCATAGCCTGGCCTCTGGCTCTTAAACAAGGAGGGAGGACGGTGCATGGTTGGGTCGGGTGCCGGGTCAGTGGGGAGGGACAGCTCACTGCCCAAGGAATCTTACGTGGCTACTGTGGTGGCACCGCCACGTTGAACCTGCCAAGTGGCAGAGCCATCCCCGGCGTTGTTGCTGGCATTAGCCAGGCAGAGAAGGGGAGGCCAGGGCCAGCCACAGGGCACTGTGCCCTGGACACAAAACTGTCAGAAAGGGTTGTGCCTCCCTTTTCCTGAAACAACCAGAGGCCAAGCATTTCAGGACGCGAGTATGTCTTTCCAAAGGTGCCCCTTTGCTGGGGTCAGGCTCCCTCCGAAGCTGGGTGGCCTGGATCCAGACAGGCCATGGGGGATGTGGCCTCTGGGAGGGTTTGTCAGGCCAGGGACCCCCAGGAGTGTCCTTCTCCAGGGCTGCCAGCACCTGGGTTCCTCGTGCTCAGTAAGTTCTTCCAGATTCTCTGTGTCCCTCCTTGGCCTGGGCACCAGCCGTAGCCACCCCACTGTGCAGTAGGTGCTTCTCTTTTGTATTTGCTTAGACTTAGGAGGCTTCCAGGAGCTGCCCCCACCCACATTCCGATTCACCCCTGGCTCTCCTTTATGCTGTGAATGACACTGATTCTCATTATCATGAGTTAGCCTTTATTGAGCCTTTACTGGGCACGTGCTGTCCACCCTCACAGCAGCTGTGGGGCACCCATTGTCCTCCCCAGCACCATTCTAAGGAAAGGGAAATGGAGGCCGGTTAATTTGCTCAGGGCCTGGCCGGTAAGTCGAGGCCAAGGTCAGACCCAGCTCAGCCCCAGCCTAGCCAGGGCCGTTGGGGGCTGTGGGCTCTGGAGCGCCTCTTGCCTTTCATCGCAAAGATCATTTTTCACAGAAAAATTTACCCTGGGAGGCAAGAGCTGCCCCGTGTGGTGCCTGTGCAGCCTGGGCCGGCCCCCGCTGGCATTGGCCCCCGTAACCCTGTGTGCCCCCAACCGTCCGGTGCAAAGATGAGCAGAGTACTGGAAGTGCCGCTTGTTGGTGACATGCATTTGAACTCACGCTTAGTCAATTTTAACTAAATTTTCCCCCAGTTCCCATCATTTCTCTGTTCGTGGTCCCTCCTCCTTAAGAGACACCCAGCACCTCCTGTAACTGAGCCGTAGAAGAGGCTTTGCGGGAAAAGCTCTTTTGTAACAGTCTCAACTGTAAACAGAAACATGTTTCCCCCCTGTATTGCAACAAACCTTTGACAAAAGAGAAACTCTGCTCTTTCTCAAGAGGCCAAAACACCCGCATGGTCTCCTAGAACAATGGTCCCCAACCCTTTTGGCACCAGGGACTGGTGTCATGGAACACAGTTTTTCTACGGATGGGGGGAGGCAGGACCGTGGGGCGGAGCTCAGGCGGTGATGGGTGGCCTGGTTCCAGACAGGACACAGACAGGTACTGGGCCTCGGCCTGGGTTGGGGACCGCAGTCCTAGAAGGCACTGGGCAGCAGACAGCCCGCCCCAAGCGCTCTCGGTCCCGCCCCTCCAGCCCCTTCATCTATCTGTTGCTCCGCACCTCTCCCCACCTCCTCGGCTCTGCAATTTGAGGGTTTGGGGGAAGGAATCCTGCCTCTCCCACATCTTCCAAAGCGCCCCTGACTTCAACCATCAGCCTGGTGCAACCAGCTCCACCACCTGCCAGTTCCCACCCAGCTGGCACCCCTCAGCTGTGTCCACAGGAGGGGTCCTCGGCATCCTCACTGAAGCCCAGGGTGGCTGAGCCCGCACGGTTTCCCTGAACATGAGAGGATGTGGGGTTAAGAGGGCAGGCCATGGTGTTCGGCCTGAGTTTCAATCCGAACTCTGCCACCCACCCCAGGACCCTGTATCACTGTGTCTCAATTGCCGCATCTGTTAAATGGGTACGATAATAGTGCTGTCTTGGGCACTGAGAGCCTGGCATGTGGGTAGTGCTCATGAATGCCAGCCACCAGACAGCTTGGCAGGGTCGTGGAGACTTGAGATATGGTCGGTGAGCCCACAGACTCCTTTCTAGTGGTCTCCAGCCCACCCTGGGAGACATCTCAGGACCTCTCTTGCTCCCAGCCCCCCTCCTCCCAGGTGTAAGCCAGGACTCCGGCCTGCTCTCCTCTGGCGCCCTGACCCCTCTGCACACTGCTTTTCCCAAGGGCTCCCGCCCCCACTGGTGATCTCCTTCGGGGGTGGATTATGGGAGCCGGAAGCTCGGCTTTCCCTGGAGCAGCTGCTCCTGCTTCAGCCCTGCCTCCACAGGTCTCTGTCACCTCCAAGGATTCTGGGGCCAGACAGACCTGAGTTCAAGGCCTGGCTTCTTCTCATGACTGCTGTGTGACCTCAGGCAATTTACTTAACCTTTCTGAGCCTGGTGTCCTCAACAAATGTCAGTCCCCTCTCTCCTCTTGGCCTTTTGAGAAAGCTGGGCTTTATTTATTTCTCAAATAGATGTTGAGGAGGACCAGTTAGAGGCACTGGGGGACCCCAGAGCTAAGCAAACCACAGTCAGCCAGGTGGTGACCACGAGACTCAGCCAGAGAAGTTACCGAGGCAGGTTTGCCTCCCCTCCTATTTGCTCTGGACCCAGGCGTCACCAGGCCCTTTTTCGTCCAAAAGATGTTCGGGAGACTCTGCCTTTTCCAGGCTGAGGCTTCCTGTCTCCCTTCCCGCAGCTCCAGGCTTCTAGCAGGAGCGGCCTGTGCTTTTCATCTCTGTCTAATCCCAGTGAAAAGCTCTGGGCCGAGGCAGGCGGGGAGAGGCCCTGCTCCCTGGAGGTGGGCAGGGAGTGCGGGAAAGGCTGTCTGCAGCAGGGGGAGGACAGAGCCGGCGGGTGGGCAGCCACACAGCAGGAACAAAGGCTGAAAGGCCAAACGGCAGGGCAGAGGGAGGGGACCGAGAGGTTCCACCAGGCTGGAGGGGAGAGTCTCTCAGGGAGCGGTGGTGCTGGGATTGTGAATGCCTGTCAGGCAGGGGTCCCGACGCCCTCCCAACAGGTCCTGTCTGGTGGCTTTCTCCTTTGTAATGGTGGAATATAATACACGTACAGAAAAGTGCCGTGCTGTATAATAAATGCTGTAAAACAGCGTTCTGTGTGACTACCGCCCAGGTCAAGAAAGAGAACATTCTAGTGCCCCAGCGGCCCTTGTACCTCCCCAAACATCCCTCCCTCCCCTCTGAGGTTGGAACCACCATCCTGACTTTTAGGGCGATCACTTCCTGGCGTTTCTTTATAGTTTTATCATTAGTACGCATCACTAAGCCACATGGACTAGTTTTGCCTGCTTTTCAACTTTGTGTGATTGGAACGATGCTGTGCGTGTTCCTTTGTGACCCTCTTCTTGCATTCAGTATTCTGTTTTTAACGCTACATCCAGTGCACGGGGTGGCTGACGTTTGTTTGTTTTCATGGCTGCAGAGCAAGGGTCACAAACCACGGCCCGTGGGCTAACTCCAGCCCGCTGCTGCCGCTTGCCTGGCCTGCCAGTTATGAATGGTTTTTATATTTCTAAGTGGTTGAAAAAATCAAAAGGGACTGTGCAGACTCACGTGGCTTCTGATCCTTGAGTCCCAGCACGGTGCCCGGCGCCCAGCGGATGCTCAGGAAATAGTAACAATGACAGGAGGAATTAAGCTCCGCAGCCCCAGGGAGTTCTGAGCCAGGTAGGGATGCGATGCCACCAGGAGGGGCGCCTGGGGGAAGCAACAGAAGGGCTGGAAGGGCCGGTGGTCTCCTGGTGCCAGGTGGGGCTGAGCCCGCGGTCCTCTCGGGCAGGGCGGAGACCGAGCCCCTCAGCCCGTGTCGTGTGAGTGCGAGAGTGGACGCTGCGTGCAGGGCAAACACGGGCCCTCCCGTGGATCTAGGCGAGGCCTCAGCGCAGTGGGAATAGGAGCGGCAGGCCCTGGGGTGGGGGCTGAAGCCAGAGAAGGCGGGGGTGGCGGACACACTAGGTGAGCCTGGTGAGAGGGAGGGGAGGAGGTAGGCGTGAAACTGGCAGGCGGAGCTCTGGCTGCCCCAAGAGGATGGCCTGACCAGCCTGGATTTGAGTCCCAGGAGACTTCGGCCAAGTCCCCCGAGCACCCCGAGCCTCCACACACTCACCCTGCCGTGTGCTCAGCCTCCTCTGGGCAGGCCTCCTGCCAGCAGCAACAGGCCAGCACCACCCGCAATGGCTGCAGGGCCTGGCGCCTGGGACCCCCAAGGGAGGGTCTGTGAGGCTTTGGCCCTGGGGACAGGGTTTGAGGGTGCAGTGAGTGATGGGACTCAGTGCTCACCTGCCCAGGTTGGGTGTGTTCGTCCCGCCCACCAGGCTCCTCTGGGCCCAGCCGCTGCCCCCTCCTTCACACCCCGCTCTGTGCCCAGAACTCAGGATCTCACAGGCCCGGGGGCTCACCGTGGCCTCCCCAAACCTCCTGCAGGCTGTGGCGACTCACTGTCCCTGGACACACTCAGGCCAGAGCCCAGAACATGAGCTCCTGAGGGACAAGGCCAGTCCCAAGTCATCTCTCTGAGGCCACATCCAGCCAGGGCCAGGCACAGAGGAGGGCTACAGGGCCACGGCCGGAAGGACCCTGGCCCAGGGTGCCACGGGGAGTCATGGCTGGGACTAGGAAATGCCTGGCTTCAGAGGGTCTCTTTGATGAGTCGCTATGTCTGGGGACTTCATCCTAGGGCCGGGGGTGTGCAGGGTGCCTGGAAGAG